CACACACCCGAACTTTGAACTGTCCGGAGCCGTCAAGGTTCGGCACCACCATGGATAGTACGGTTGTGAAATAGAGAAGAACAACAAAACAATACGACGCTACCAGGTTGTAACCCAAACGTGGACCAGATAGCCCATGATGAATAAACCACATTTCACAAATCGAGTGTCCTTAGAGAGGAATATACTCACTTATATCATAACTTCAACTTGCTATTTAACCATGGTAGTAATACCAAGATATTCAGAAGGTAGTATCAATTCAAATCAATATTTCTATTGAGAATAACTATTGCAATTGAGGTGGGTGATGGCTAAGTGATTATAATCTGCTCTCCAAAATACCTTCACCTTCACCTGAACCCAAGGCAATCAGTCGTCCTTGTTGGCATGTTTCAAGGCCTCCTGCTGTTTCTTTTTCGCAAATTCGTCGCTCAGAGCCTTTCGGGCTAGCCACTCGGGCAGGGCGACTCTTAGCATCCAGATCTGCGCCGCATGCGGCCACCAGGGCGACAGAGTGAGCCAGTCCTTGTCGACGGCCCGTCCGACGCGTTCCATGATGGCCTTGGCATACTGGCGGCTGTCGGGGGCGCTGGGGGGCGCTATATCGTTGCTCTGCGACCGAACATCGCCCGGGATGATGGCGATGGCATCGACACCGACGCCTGCGGTGCGGAAGTCTCTAGCCAAGGACGCGGTCATGGCGTTAACAAAGCCCTTGCAACTGGAATAGGGCCCCAGCTGTGGCAAGCCGAGGTGCGCGGCGGACGAGAGGTTGATGATGAGCGACCGCGCACCGACGCTGTGCTGCTTGAGCGCAGGGATGAGACGCCGCGTCACCTGCGCCATGAACCGGGCGCTGAGGGAGATGGTGTTGTCGACGTCCTGTGCCGTGAATTCGTCCAGCGTCCGCAGCGTGCGCCTGGTGTCCTGAACGGCGATGCCACCGATGTTGTTCACGAGCACGGCTAGCCCAAGGTCGGCTACCGAGTCGAGTGCCGCGTCGATGTCGGCGGCCGTGGCGCGCACGGCATCGAGCACGACGACCCTGACCTCGACAGAGGGCGCTTCGGCTAGGATGGCCGCCTTGGCCTCAGCAAGCTCGGACGGCTTGTGGCCGAGGATGATGATGTTGAAGCCGCGACAAGCGAGCTCGAGGGCGCAGCCGAGGCCAATGCCAGCAGACGCACCGGTAATGAGCGCCCACGAACAAGGCCTGCCATTAGCGTCACGATGTTGGTACCGCAACAGAGAGACGGCCGGGAGCAGCCAAAGTGACGCGGCGTCGAGCACCTTGTAGCCCAGGGTCGCCAAGGTGGCAGCGCCAACAAGGCGGAGGGCGACGTCCATTGGGACCAGAAGAATCGGCGCAGTGTGGTTTGGACTTTGGAGCAAAGAGTGGCAAAAATCTAACGATAAATCCCGTAGCCTAGAGTCGACGAGGTTTCTTCCTTGGGGGTTCACAAGTCCACATAAGCAACGAAAATGGGACGAAAAAGCGGACGAAAGCCAAAATGGGCGCGCCCAGCTCAAGGGCTGAGCCTCGAGGCTAAGGCAGGTTAGCATGCATATAGGGTACGAAGGCTGGGGCAAAAAGAAATGGTCACCTTCCCCAGTGCCAGGTTCAGGACGCCACGTTCCAGAATTGGTTAAGCCTCGCACGCCAGCTGCCTGGCCAACAAGCCAGTCTTTCACAGTGCAAGAAGATAAAGGTCTTCAGGGCTATTATAGTGAGTTCGGCGATCTCCAAGGCCTTGGCCGGCACCTGGCAAGCCATTTATACTATGGAGGGTGACCCTTTCTTTTTGCCCCAGCTTTCGTAGAGCAGGGCAACTATTACTCCCTTCATGGTAGCCCGTACTTGGTGCGGGGTGGAATTGTGCCGGCATCAAACCCCAGGTGCGGAATGTTCCGTACGCCACAAACTAAAATCTTTGTGTACATAACTGTAGCAGAGCCTCGATTTTAAGTTGTGAGATTCGAAAAGACGGCTCCTATAATTCAACAGGGTGCACTATATGTCCCTGTACCCTTCTCAACAACAATATAATTGTAAGAATGAAAACCTTGTAGGTATGAGCTAAACATAGCACATGATTAATGATTTACTTACTTACCTAGTTAGTTGTGATTAATCTAATCGTTTTTTATTTCGTCTGTTCAAGGAGGGACTTCCACAAGCAGATATATCACCAAAGCCAACCCAATTGTATCTTGACTGAACCTTACTTCGTATTTTCTACGAGGATAGCGGCATGTGCTTCTCTATAGGACATAGGTCATCATACCAATAAAACCTAAAAACGACCATTACGGTAATTAATTTACAAATAGGCAAGCCCTTTTCTAGTTTGGATAGGTTTAATTGTAAGATATCGTATGGTCTCAACTTCAAACCGCCCCCAAAATCACGATAGATGGATCGGTAGCCTTTGCCGCTGGACCTGGGTGGCCACTGCAACCCCAGAATCCTCCTCTATTAGCCGATGGTTGTGTGCGGGACGTGCTTGTTGAACCAACTGGACAGATATGCATCTCCGCATGGCAGTGCCGCACAATCAATCTTCTCGAGACTACCTGGTAGAGAACGCCAACCAGCCTTTAATGACCACCAAACACAAAAAACACCCTGTGGCGAGCAATAAGATACAAAACGTTAAGACAGCCTTGACTCCATACGTAGCGGATCTCAACTTTACAAATCCAATAAAAGTCGGCCATGGCGTACAGAGTGGTTCCCTGCCGTCTCGGAGACGCTGAGGCCATCGCTGTCAACAACATGACGGCCTTCTGGGACGATATAACCTGGCGGCTGACATGGATGCCCTGGAAGGACTCCGAAGGCATCGAGCACCCCGGGGTGCCGCTCGAGGAGCTTATCGCCCGGGGCAAGCGGCGGTACCCGTGGAACCTGCTCAAAAACCGCACCGAGGTCCGGGAGACCAAAGCCGTCGACGAGAACGGCAAGCTAGTTGGATTCGCGCGCTGGGTGATGCCCGAAGCCCACACCAATGCGTGGCTCGACGCCCAGGTCCCCGATGCGTCAGTCGAGGAGCGGGACCGGCTCAAAGAGCTGCACGCCAGTACAACGTGGAACTGGCGCAAGGATATGAACCCGATCGACGACCCAGTCAGCAAGCGGTTTGAAAAGTTCAAGGAGGAGTGTAAAGGTTACATGCGCAAGTCCACCAGTCCTTCTTCTCGTTTTGGATGTCTAGGTAACCAGGCAACGTTCACTAACACAACCCGGGTGCCCAGAACTCGACTTTCTCGCCGTGCACCCCGACAATGCGCGGAAGGGCATCGCGACGGTGCTGGTGCGCAAGGGCATGCAGGTGGCCGAGGAGCTGGGCATCGGCATCTTCATGCTGGCATTCAACTGCGGCCTGAACGTGTACACGCGACTGGGCTTCCAGCTCGTCGACCAGATCATCCAGGACGATACCATTTACGGAGGCGAGGGCAACTACGCGCGCTACTACCTGCGCCTCGACCCGGCTAGGAAGCTTGACGGGGAGGGCAACCCAGAACCTGCTCTGTCCGAGGAGAATGGGGACGACAAAGAGATTTGATGTCTTGTATTAAATTGGTTCCACTGGGTAGGTATAGTTAGCTGGGCATTTACTTCAAAGTACCTTACTTGGTGCATGGTTTCTGTGTTGCGTATATCTGCTCTGATTTAGTGCGCTCCTTACATGTGGCTCCCCGAGGCCTTGCCCGTCTTTGTCTTCCTCTCACCAGTGTTCCTCGCGCTGTCCAGAATCAGAGCGACATGCTGGCTCAAAGCGACCAGCTCTCCGTCTGCATCCATCACCACGACCTCGAGATCCAGCCTGCCGTTCCTAATCTGCTTTGTCTGGACCCGAAGCTGAAGCCAATCTACGCCCTCGGCGGGAAGTGTCTTCTTCTGGTCGAGGTTTAGCACGACTGTGGGGTACCAGAACACCGAGTCTTGCGCAAAGGGCAGAGGGCTGTTGGCGGCGGCGGCGGCGGCGGCGGCGGCGTCTTCCTTGGAGGGCCGGTACGCCTCGACGACGTAGGGCCAGCAGTCGGCCACGTAGGCCAGGGATGCGTTGGTGAAGGGCTCGCCCGAGGCCAAGCGCACCCAGAGATCTATGGTGCTCTTGGACGGCTGGCCGCCGCGCGGAGTGTAGTAGACGCAGTTTTGCAGGCAGCGCGTATATGCGAGGACATTGCCGGGCAGGAAGACGAGAGGCTCCCAGTGGGCGTCGTGGCCCCCGCGCAGGGCTGCAAAGTCAGGCGTGGGCGGTGGGGCAGACGGCTGGCTCAAAGTCCAGCCGGTGGGCAAGGAGATGCCTTGCTCCTTTTGCAGGTCGGTCATGGTCATGTAGGCGGCGACTTCCTTGCGGGTGGTTCCTGGCGTGATCCAGGGGTACTGGGGCAGGAGCGCATGCTGGTACAGAGTGACATGGACCGTCGACAGCTGGCGACCGGGCTTCACGTCGTCGACAACGATAATGGCAGGCCCAACCTCGGTGCGGTTGAGGAACTCGAAGTGAGCCGTCAGTGTGTCGGTCTGGCCGCGGGCTGCGAGGTGGATGCTGGCCGCCTGCACGAGACACGATGCCACATAGCCTCCATTCGGCACAGTTCCAATGCAGTAGCCGTCAACCAAGTTCGCCCTGTACGTGTACGAGTCGAGTCTCTCGACCCGGCTGGCTAATGAGAAGGGTATCAAGGAGGTTGGTTGGGCCATTTCTGTGTCTTGCTCTCTTGAAACCACGTAGTCTGGTAGTGATCTAATTAAACTCAACCAGACGCCGTCATTCGGGGGAGCAGGTAAATAAGCCGCTGTATCCGGTCGACTGGCTGGTCTGCGGGGCCTCGGCTCCTGAGTGGAGATTCCGGAAGCCAGCCGTTGGGTAGTGGTGTGGCGGGGTTAGACTCGGTCACCAAGCCGATTTAGAACTGGGGTATTCCGTGCTACGTGGACGGGAGCTTTGAAGCTACTAACATGGAAAAGGCAAAAACAAAAGGTTTGGATGCACCCGGGATTGAACCGGGGACCTTTCACAGGGCATGTAGAGAATCTAATGCGAAGCGAAAATCATACCACTAGACCATGCACCCTTAATGTTTTCGCTATGATGTTATTTCCATACCGCCCCCTAACAGGCTGGGCCAGCGCTGCAAGATTGCGGGTTCAAAACTCTAGCTGACAGTGACTTCCCCCCCAGTTACCAGATGCTGCAACCCCACTTACCTCGGCATATCTGTGCCCTAATTAATAATCTCCCCCTCAAATCGCGCCTGGCTTTCTCAAATGCTGGGCAATTTGGCACTAGAGACTTTCGCCAAGCGTAAAGCTGAATGGAAGAAGTATTCCGTATCTTCTCACTCAGCTTATGGCATGTGTGCTCCCACCACCCACGAGAGCGCCCGGTTCGCCCGGTTCGCCCGGTTCGCCCAGTGGGTTCCACGTTTACAGCCTACCTTTAGCTGTTAGGCGTCTTTCACATGCTAATTCTTAGATCCTAAAGCGGCCCGGCATCTGTCGCTAGTGCTAGGCTGAGCCTAGCACTCTCGCCCCTGTCGATATGCCAAAACAGGCATGCTCCGGGCGGCACAGACAGCGGCAACCCCGTTCCGTAACCCGCTCCGCCCCAACAAACCGCCGCGTTGAGGATTTCTGGGACTTGGAACGGCTCGCAAAACCTGCAAACCCTCGCTAGAGTTAGACCACCGCCAAGTGTGGGGGTTCCAAGTCGGCGGGTCAGAATGTGCGGATGTAATATGTCAGGGACAGGAACTACAACTGTCATTGTTATCCCACGCGTGCTTTCCAAGTCTTCTGGCGGCGTTACTCGACCCGAAACACCACAGCAAAGGAACTAGGTACCTTATGCACCACAAATACTACCGACTACAGTTAGATAGTTCGAGCTTAACAACACAACCGCCGTTGAAATGTCGGGAGAGACTCACAGCCAGGCGTCGCTGCTTGCCGACTTCAAGAAGTTGAGCAAACAGGTGTACGTGCAGGAAGGCGACAAGGCCACCAGCCCAACCACGGGCCTCGACAAATCGAGCCCGTCAGATCCCACCACCGTTATCCTCTACAGCTGGGGCGATGCCCTCCCCAAGCACGTCGCGAAATATGCCCATGGCTACCGCCACCTGTACCCGCACGCCCGCATGGTGCTCGTCTTCTCGCCCATTCTGAAAGCCCTCATCCAAGGCCTCGAAGCGCGCGCCCAGAACATGGAGCCCATCATCGATGCCATCTACGGAGGCAAGGACGAGAAAACAACCGAGCGGGTGCTGGTGCACGCCATGTCCAACACGGGCGGAATTAACCTTGCGGCCACGCTCTACGCATACCACCAGTGCACAGGCAGCGTCTTCCCCCACCAGCTGCTGGTGCTCGACTCGACCCCCGGCAGCTCCAACTTCTTTGCCAACATCGGCCGCTGGTCGCGCGCCATGGCCCTGGGCGCCGCGGGCTGGCTCCCATGGCCCTTTGTCGTGACCCAGACGCTGGCGGCTACCTTCCTCGCAGGCCTGCACTTCTACGGCTGGGTCCTGGGCATCTCAAGCACCGCCGCGTACAGTACCAGCGTCGTCAACGACACCACCCTGTCCGACGTCGGCGCCCGTCGCCTCTATCTGTACTCCAAGGCCGATGACATCATCCACTGGGAGGATATCGAGGTGCACGCCGCCCAGGCCCGCGAGAGGGGCTTCGACGTCGAGGCCGAGCTATTCGAAGGCACGCCCCATGTCGGGCACATGCGGAAACACGCTCAGAAATACTGGGACGCCATCGCACGTGCGTGGAAGGATTCGGCTGCGGCGACAGGAAGTGCATCCGAGCAATGAGGTCGGATAGGGGAGGGTGGCGTGTTATTTGCTTATAGAGCTGTTATTGGCCTTGAGCACTACCACGCCCGCCACGTGTGACTAATGACCAGGGAACGTTCAAGTTGCTAGGCTCAATTAATAAAGAACCCACATATACGGCTCTCCGAATTAGTCAAACGTCTTACCCGCCTATTCCAACTTCTTTTGTTTGTGGTACCAGCGATGTGATGATGAGGTTTAGACCGAGATACGAAGCTCTTGATGTTGAGTGGAAGGCCATGACGCTGGTCCCTAAAGCCGCTTGTGAGAACTATATAAACCCAAAACGCTTCATTTTCGAGCTCATCAACTTCGAAGCAAACCAACCACATCAACTCAAGCCACCCACCTATCTGACCACCATGAAGATCTCGATCCTCCAGTCCATCCTGCTCTTTACAGCAACTGGCTTGTCTGCGCCCAACCCAAGCCCGGCCAGCAACGATGTTGAACTCGTCAACACCACCGAGGTCGCGACGGAAAAGGAGTAAGAATCTGTTTGACTCGCAAACAACCATATTTCCTGTGTCGAGGTTAGAAAACTCTGATCGTTCGTCTTCTGGCGTATCTAGGCTCAGCGCCCGAGCTTTTATCCTGCATTCTAGCCTCGATGCTTGGACGACCAACCTCGGCTGCTCAGGCGGCAACAGTAACAATCAATCACTTCCGCTGGCATGAGTGAACCCATGACCCTAGCCTAACTTTTTCCTTCTTTGTATCTGACCTGACTGTAAACATTGTTTAAAGTAAGACCCCCGGCCAGGATGCAACTTGTTTTGAGTTTGTGCAGAACGGCCAGCGCATCTTGATGGTTAACATCAGGTTCAACTACTCGCCCAACGATCTCAACTGCCAGTTGCGGCTCTTCTCGAACCTCGGCTGCACAGGAACGCATATCCGCACCCCCCAGGCTCGTGCAATACGGGATCGTTTGCTAGTTTGAAGGTCGTTTGCCCTGGCATTTTCTAGCTTGAAGGTCGTCTGCCCCAGCCAAAAGCACGACAACAACTAGCTGCCAGGCTAGTTTCCGGACTGGCTTGATAGTGCGGAGGGGAGAAGTGGCGCTCAGATCCTGAGAAAGAGACGGAGGTGTGTGGGACGGAAACAGGTATTCTCTTCTTCGATTCAATAACCAGCCATGTTTAGCAAAGTCGGTACATTCTTTAGGACTTAATTAGCGAACGTATTTGGCACTTCACGTTTGCACGCGGGTGGATCGCAGTACGGCTCTCTACTTTGGATTTGGACAATCATCTAAGTAGCAGCTAATGAATGATTCACTGTCCATTGTCCAATCCTTTGCAAAGTTACCTCAATTCATAATGCACCAACTTACCTACTCTGTCGCGGGGCCCAAAGTACTCCCTGTGCTCTGAAGGAGATTTCTCAGCGTCTGCCACGCCATTCTACGGCCTTTATTTCGTCTCTCCCCCGCAGTATGTTTCTTCAACTCTAATTAGATGCAATACTTCTTAGAGAGTATTAACGTTAGTGCTAATTAGAGGTAGCGAAGACACTCGGCCCCCATCAAGTGCGCATTTTTGGCAGTCACCCAAGATTTCACACTATGCCTGTAAGCTCAGTGGACTCACCAGTCCGTACTACCCATCCCGTAATGAGTTGGGGTGGAACTAGGGGAAGTGAAGCCACCTCCATCCTTCCTCGCCACTGGCTCTTATCCGACTTGGCAAATGGCGGTGTCAATCGGAAGTGCATTGCTGATAGCTTTAGCATAGTAAAAAGCTAGACGGCAAATATCATCAGCATAGGCGGACATTAGCCCAAGAACCAAGCAAGAGCCGCAAGCTATCACGTTCCGGGTGGGCACATGCATGCCCGGAATGTGATCGGACACCCGCTCGCACAAAACTTCTCGCCAAGAACCGGGCGGTGAAATGTTGTGGAATGACGATGCCAGCTGTCATTGAACCGGGGAAGGTCGGTGCAACCAAACCGCGCAACAAGATAGGCCAGCACGGCGAAAAGGGCCGCGAGTCGCAACACCATGGCTTCCCCGGATTTCCAGGACACTTCGCGTGGCGTCTCTTGGCACAATATCGGGACGTCCAAGAATAGAGTATTGGGGAATTGAATGCACCGTCGGACTGAGGCTGACATTCCGCAAAGGGGGGCGGCATGGACTTCCGGCTTGGCCTCCTGCCATTTTCTCCTTTTCCGATGAAAACCTGTCTTGTTCCACGCCGATTATTGCTGCGCTAGGCTGGGGGAAAGGTAGTACTGGGCATATGGCAATGTGTCCGGGTGGAACGGGCAGCGAGTTCAGCCGAGCCAAGCTTGCCGAGTTGGACGGTCTATCCCGAAGCGTCTGCAGTGGTGTTTACCCACTGACCTTGACTGTGCTCCCATCGCCCATCTGAAAGTCGGCCTAACCTTCTTTCGACTACAAATATGTGGTGACACCTCCTGCCGTTCGACAACTTGAACCATCCAAATATCACCAAATGATATTGGTATCAAGCTCAGACGAATCAAAGCTCATCATGCACACAACCCTCATCCTGTCCCTCTTCGCTGCCGTCGCGATGGCCTTGGATGACCACAGACCGTGCGGTCTCAAGATTGCTCCATGCCCAAGCGCTCAAAGGTGCCAGGCATTGGACCCGACATGCACGCTCGGCGTAAACTGCCTTGGATACTGCGTGCCCAACCTGAAGCTGCCAGTGCCGCCAGTCACCACCACAGCCACGGCCACGACGCTGCAGACGGTGACGTCGACGTCGACGGCCAAGCCACGCGTCTCGACATATGCTCCGTGCGGCGGGTTTCGCATCACGCAAGAGTGCCCCTACAAGGACCAGATCTGCATCGACGACCCCAGAAGCCAGGGCTGCGGCATGGCCTGCGACGCGCCGGGCATCTGCGTGACACCCGTTTTCTGCGGCGGCTTCATCGGTAGGGCGTGCCTCGACGGCAAGAGATGCATCGACGACCCGCGCGACGACTGCGACCCCAAGCATGGCGGCGCCGACTGTGGCGGCATCTGTGTTTAACTACCGGGTTCTTGGTGGCACTGCGATGCGGGCATGATTATGTGCGAGAAAGATGAAAAAAGGGGGGAGAGAGAAAAGGCACTGGGACAGGCTATTATGGGGCAAAATGGTCGAAACCCTCGGGACGCGGAAAAGCCGGAGCTTGTCATGAGTTTTCTTATTCTTCAGGAGGAGGCAGCTTTCCTAACTAATTATCCTCTATTCAAACGTGTTCAAACC